TGTGTTAATTTTTTAAAACGTGTTGAACTTTTTGGAGCAGCAGCTCTTGGTGACTTTTAGGCGAGCTTACGACAATTTTTATATTTTACTTATTTTGCAGCATATTGCACAAGATGTTTTCTAGACCAAAATTAGTTTTTCAAAATTGTAATTACTACCTTGCTTGATATATATATATATATATATATATATATATATATATATATACACAGAGAGAGAGAGAGCTAGATATAAATATATTAACCCTTTGCAGTACAGTTTGTCCGGTCTGGACACACCTAAAAATTTCCTTCTGTACACACAGAAAAATTGAATGAAAAAAGGATTTATAGGTTACTCTGAACCTTCTTTATTTATAGCAGATGGCAGCTCAACACAGACCAGTCCATATATTTTAGCCATGTTTAGTTTTTTAAGACACTCATCTTTCAAAGAAATCTTCTAAATTTTTTTAGGGTATTTATTGTTTGAAAAGAAATTTCTATGTTATTTTTTGGCTGTATGCTAATCTCCTTATTCTATATTAGTTTTAAATTTTTACCTTGAAATCTTGCCTAAAATCAAACGGCAAACCCTAGGTGTGCCCAGATGGGGCTCACCAATAATCTAGGACGACTGAGAGTCTGTATTCTTTTTTCTCCGCATCTCATCAGTAAGTTCATTGACAACAATGCTCGTTTCAGCACTCTTTTCGAAGCTCTATTCAATCAGTGTGGCACACCCACAGAATTAAAATATAAGTGCTATCTTCAAAAAATTTTACTTGTGTACTTCTCTCTAGGCATAATTAGACTGCCTACCTTTTTTTTATTTTTTTTTTTTAAATCATTGTGCCAGAAAGGGTTAAAACAATAAATACAAAGCCAAAAATGTTCAAAACCTAATCCAATTGTGTGCCGATAGCAGCAACAAGTGGTGTTAATAATTCTAATTAAAGCAAAAAAAGAATGTAAAATTCATCACATATTCTATTGTAATAACTCACAAACAAAAACCAAACAGAAAACCGGAAGCACAATGCTAAACTGCAAGAAATAGTGGTGCAAAATATGCCAAAGCCAGAAATGAAATACGACATTTACATCTTTTGCTGCAATATCACCAGGGAGTTGGTGCAACAAAAGAAGTAAATAAATAAAATTGCTTTTCTAAGACTATTTTTAAATTTTAAACTTTAATTTCCGTTTTTTTTTTTTTTTTCCCCAGTTCAGATCATGCTATTTATTTACTTCTTTTGTTGCACCAACTGCCCTGATGACAATGCAGTGAAAGATGTAAATTTCATATATCATTTATGAATTCAACATTTTGTCCCCTATATCTTAAGCATTTGCCACTGTGCTTCTGAGTTTTTCCTTTTTTTGGCATGCTATTTATTTCGAATTTTAAACACGCTTTATATTTTTTATTACATATATAATATAAAACATTAAAAATTCAAAAAAAATTTAGTATAAATATTTTTTAAAATTACAACATTAACCATTACTAAATGAATGTAAACTTTTTAAAAACTTTTTTGTAATTTAAAATTATTTTTATACTTAAATTTATTTATTCATAACTTTATATTGTATCATGTTGTATTTACATATATATCAGTTATTTTTACTGTATTACATTTAAATGCTTGTTTATAGTAAGATTATAAGTGAATAAATCCGTAAATACATAAATTTTAAAACAGCATGTGTACCTGAAACCGTGCTTTTTCTATACACAGTGCTACAGGTGCTTAAAAGGTTCTAGACAGGAGGCATTCTCATCTTCAGACAATATAGTTCCCCCAAAAAAATTTTAATACTTTTTTTCCAATGAAAAAAGATTTTAATTATGCCAAAATATTATGACAAATAACTTTCTTTGTGTATTTTCAATTATTTTTTAATACTGCCCCTCAAAGAGTTAAGCAGTGAGACTACAAATTGATATCAGTTTAAAATTTTTTCAAGTAAAATAATGACTAACAACTAATTCAATAATTAATCCCAAAATAATAATTAAAAATTAATACTAAAACTAAACTATTTACGCAAATTTTCAATTCATTTCTTAAATTTTATAAAAATATTTTTATAATTACATTTTTGATGAAATTTTATCTCTCACAAACAGTCTATATTTGTTTCATATAGCTCAAAAATTTTTCAAGTGTATTTCAATTTTGTAAAATTATTTATAACTTTTTACATCAACACCTTTCAGATCAAGATTTTTTCTTAGAGTCTGCTGCAGTATTTTTATAGATTCAATTGATGTTCCCATATCATATGTTTTATCTGTATCATTTTCGCCGGTCACTTTCTGCTGTTCCTTTAACACATTCATTGTCAGTTTGATGAAATGAATGAAAATAGACCAGCAATGTGAAAAAAAGTTGGATCAGGAAAGTAGTAGGTACTTCAAATAATTAACAAAATGTTAGGTTAGAATATCCAAAAGAAAAACTTTGTGGTGAGCTGAAAAAGCCATGACACAAAATAACGAAAACAAGCAGAGCGAGCGCGAGAAATCAATTGAGCTAGAAAACAGATCATGAAAGGTGTAGACACATCCACACATGTGCAAATTTAGCTTCTCTCATTGGCCACAGCTTAGACCCCCCCGTCTCACAGGTGTGAACGGATGTCCCGTATTTTATGCCCTTATGACTATGCCTCTATGCGCTTTACGCCCACGTCTCAACGCAGCTTTACATTCCATCACTAAGTGCATCAAGAAAGAACGCAAAATGCATAATCAGCTACTTAAACACATATACACACCTACACAAGTACAAAGCTCTCTCTCTATATATATATAACTTTTTTAATAATATAATTCATTATTAGAAAATTTCTTTAATATTCTTCACTTATATACTTATATTAAAGCTTTATTTACACTTTATGTTCTTCACAGAACATAAATTTAAGCCCTTAATCAGTGAAGATATCTGCTTCATTATGCTTTTTAGACAACCAGCCAGAAATAAATTAATTTCTACTGTTTGTTAAAAAAAATTAATAAGAAACTAGTCTAACAACAACTTTAACTAAACAATAAATTTATCTTGCTAACTTTATGGCTTCAATATCTCAAGAGTACGAACATGTCACCAACCACTACTTTCTCCCACTAAATAACAAAAACCTTATTACATTCCATCACTCTAAGTACATCTACAGCCATTTAGTTTTAAATTTTGCAAACAAGAAAGTTAATTTTAATTTAATTTCTGTCATAAATTTGTGCCTAATTTGTATTCAAACACCTACTTTTGACTTAGAAAAACAATCTTAAAATTAAAATCAATTTTAGTTTAAATCTAAAAAAGCATATTGATTTGTACATATTTCTATCATTTTCAATTATATTCCTTTAAACATATTGAAATTATTTTATATTTCTTTGTACAAGTATCAAGATTTTTTTATTGTTTTAATTATATTGTGAGAGTGTTGGGGAATGTTTTCTCTAAAGAGAGGATCTCACTTAATTCAGTTCATAACAAGCACCTTAAATTAAAAAAGAAATCTTATTCATTTTTTAAGGTTTTGCTTATGACGAGTATTTTGGTTCAAGAAGAATATTTATCTTTCTCTTTTTTGAGTTTTGTTCATAGCTTATGATTTAACTCTAGCAAAATAACTAATTTGATCCTTACTTGGAAAAAAGGCGAAACATTCTCATTTAATTTGTTTATTGTTATTCAATAGTGAATTGGTTTATTCCCCTTGACAAGTCAATAACAATGGCTACCTATTTAGTACTTTAAATTTTTTAGAATTTTCCAGGTTTAAAAATATATTTCCATACAGCTTATATGCTTAAAATACTAAACTTTACTCCAATAACTCATCGAATTAATTAAATTTATGTTCTTTGGATATGATATATAAAAAAAAAGTTTCTAATAAAAAATCATTCATTTATTACTTGACAGCTTTAGCACAAGCATTCAGCTTTTTAAATTCCTCATCATAACTTGTTTAATTAAGACACAATAACACGCCGAATAAATACCAATTCAGAAGTTAAACAACAAAAATAAGCGTTATATTTACAAAAATAATTAAAATTTTGTAAATATAACGCTTATTTTTGTTGTTTAACTTCTGAATTGGTATTACTTGTTTAGTTAGAATTATATATATAATTTTTCCAGGATGGTATAATCACTTTCTTCTAATTTATAATATTTTTTTTGTTGTATACAAATGTTCCCAAACATTATAATATATATTCTAAAACATTATAATATATATAAATATTAGAATTATGAGAATGTTTAAAATTTATCCCAAATATTATAATATATATTCTAAAACATTATAACCTATACAATTTTAAACATTCCAGTTCTAAAACATTATAATATATATAAATATTAGAATTATAAGAATGTTTTTAAAATTTATCATTTGTTACATTTTTACACTGATTTAATTCCTTTCATGTTTATGTAGTTTTTGCTTTGCTATAAAAAGTAGTGAATGTGTCAAGAATATTTAAATCTTTACTTTAATTATTAGTTAAATCTTTGTTCTTGACTTGTACTTCGAATTAAATTGGCCAACCTTTAAATAGTTACTTAAATAAATGATTAATATTTGTTCTTAACTAGTAATTTGAGTCAGTTTTGGATCAATATCTCCTTTGCTTGGTATTTGACAAGTGATTCTTGCATCTTAAGATGACAAAACACATTCGTTTCTATTAATTATTAACTTATCGAAAATTGGTTTGTTTCCATTGATAAGTCAATTTCCATTTAATAGCAATAATTGATTCATTTCTGCTTAACACTTTCATTCTTTTACCATTTTCATAAATTTAATTTTAATTATTTTTTTTAACTTTGCTAGGAGATAAACCAGAAACAGTTCTAATATCACACACAAGAAATGCCCCTTGAATTAGTAGCTTTATGAATAATTCAGATACTTACTCACATGAAATGTTTAAAACTATTTAACAGAGATAAAAATGGTTAATTTTAGTTGTAAAAAAATATTTACTTGAGTCTCAGCCCATTGTTTCTGAGCAGTGTTCCTTGAATGATGAATAAGTATATTTCCTCCCATATCTGTAATTTTATCTGTTGATGCCGTACCAGACAAAGATCTCACCCTATCCAGTAATGGAAACAAAACCTAGCAAGAAAAGATAATAAAGTAATCTTTGAAATAAAGTAAGATATACAATTTAGGAGTACATTTCTAGAATGAAAAACACAATGGCAATGCAGACCTATTTCACTTAATAAAATAGACAAGCAAGCATTAAAATAAAAGAAAATGCACAGAATCTCTGCTCATAAAAATTTTGGGTGCAACAAGAGTGAACACATGAACTTTAAAGAACACTTTTAAAAAGATCATCTTTTAGTCAATTTTAAGAACTATATATGTCTGCTACAGTGTTCTGAAATGCACTTTATGTTCAACAGGAAATATAAGTCTAAGCATTTAACAGGAACATTTAACAGTAATTAATTTAATTTTATTTAATTTTAAGTACATTTAACAGGAACTAGTCATTTATATCATCTTTGGCTGGCAAAAGAATTAGGTTTGGTAAGATTAGGTTATTGGAGGTTAAGGCAACATGAACCGATAATTTTCATAAATTTCCTATACAACTTTCAAAGGTTTTTAAAACAGAACATTCTTCACATGTAGAAGTCAAAATGAAAGAAACCTGTACTCGGTTACAGCCGAAAACATTGCAGACAAGAATGTCACCGAGAAAACATTGCAAAGCGAAAATGTTGAGGTACAAAATATCGTGGGAGAAAATAAAACAAATAGAAAGCATCGCAGCTCTAAAACATCATGGTCCAAAATAAAGCAGTTAAAAAAACTTCAGAGTTTAAAAACATCATCGTCGAAAACAATGTGTTAAAAAATAAAGTACCTACAAATCATCGCATGATGACAACATCGCACACATGTGTTTTTCAGGTTTCAAAAGCTGAAAATGCATTTTTGCATAATGATTTGGTAGTGCAAGGAAAGAGGGTGAAAATGTTAACAACACTTTGAGAATAAACAAAAACAAGATATAAGTTTCACTAAAACAATAACAGATTATCAAACATGAAAGAAAATATTTTGATAATTAACTACGCAGTTATTTATCTTCCTTTTTCTAGACATTATTAGACTGTATTTTTCATGAAAAATTATCAATGAAACTTTATAAAAAATTAATAAAATTTGTAGTTAACTATGTAAATTTAAAATTAAGTGCTGTTAGTAGCATTAATTTTCTTTTCATTTTCATTCAAAAATATGAAATATAGAAATAAAAATATCCCTCTTTCCTTCTTGCTCTCCCAAATCATTATGCGAAAAAGCCCTTACTTTTAAAACCTGAAAAATGCATGTGTGCGATGTTATCATTATGCCATGATTTCTAGGTACTTTATGTTTTACCACAATATTTTCAGTGACAACGTTTTTAAGCTGTCACATTTTTAAACTGCTTTATTTTCAACCACAATATTTTGTACCACGATGTTTACTTCCTAGCAGAGTTCAGAGAGAAGCATAAACATTCTCCACCACTTGTTCATAGCAATGAAATTTTGCATACTGTAACTGAAGTCTACCATGAAGTAAGATAATATTTCAGCTATGACTCCTGTGGGAGAATACAATACAAAGTAATCTCATCGGGACTTCGGCAATTCCGGAGTATAGATCATCAATTTAAATCTGGTAAGATGGCATGCAGAAATTATACTATTAAAAATATGAAACTTATGAAATAAAAAGCAATTATGATCTAAAGGGTATCAAATTTTACAAAAAAAAGCTTAATATTTATTTGTTTACTTCATTAAACATTTCTTTCAATGCACGCATGCGTAAAGCATATGCGCGTAATGTATGCACATTCTTTATGTGCATGTGTAATGTATGCGCATTCTTTATGTGCATGCGTAAAGTTTGTGGCTTTGAGGTCCGGATTATAGATTATTTCGGAAAATGGACGTCCGGATTACGGATTTTGTACTATATACCTTAATTCATTAAATAAACATACCTGCCATAATACAACTTCCCATGTAGTTTGCTGCAATAAAGATCCATGAGCACCTAGAGTAGAAAACAATGTTTGTCCAGCACTTTTACGAACTGCAGGTCTTGAATCAACACACAGATCTCCTAATCTACAGAATAAACTTAGCCACAGTCGATCAAATGGTAGTAATGGAAAACCATAACTTGGTATTTGAACAGAATTCAAAATAGACAGCTCTTCTTCTGTTGCAGATAACAAGCCTTGCGAAATTTTTTCTTCATTTTGAAATAAATGATCCGCAATATTCCACTAAAATGTACAAATATATATAAAAACTCATACACATACACATACTACATATTCACAGATATGTAAGACACAGAACTCAAAACTGCACTTCATTTATGTGAATAAAATTAGAAATTTAACTGCAAAATTATGCGAGAATTTTATTAATATTATCCTGGGACGATATTTCATTTTGGATCTCAGTGACCCATTATTATTTTAATATGGATATTAAATAAAAATTCATTCATTTAAATTTTATTAAAAATTCAGAATACTTATAATCTGTTAATATTTATCTGGATGTTATAATAGTTAAGAGTTATTAAGAGTGACTGGGTGGATCTTCAGATAAATTCACCTTGAGAAATAAAATTCAGAAGAAATCGAAATCATAATCGCAGAACTCTTTGCCATAGAATTGCATTTGATAGAAGTTTAACCTGAAAATTTTCCTGATTAAATTAAGAGTTTAAAATCCGGACAATGCATTTCCCAAAACTCTAAAATTTATAAACTGAATTCTTTTCTAACGGAGGAAGAGGTTTTATTAAGAGGAGGAAGACAGTAAAAATCATCTTTGACTTTTCAAGAACAGCATCCTATAATTATTCCGTCAAAAACTCAATTTACAGGTTTTCTGATATGTGGTGCACATGCATGAACTTTTCATACAGGTGTAGCTAATATTATCATGTTCCTCTGTGAAAAATACCGGTTAATTATCTTGGGACAAAAGATGAAAAGGGTTATAAGAAACTATATTCTGCGTCAGCATTATAACTCCGGACCAATGCAACAAGTATGGCACCATTACCTTCATCTAGAATTAGATCTAGACTGATGCAAATTCACTTTTCATTAAAAATGAAGATATGAAGTATTACATAATATTCACCTGCAGAGTGACTAGAGGTATTCGTTTTGAACTAACTAAAGATCTCACAACTAAATCTTTCCTACTTGCTTTTCATCGATTTTGATTAAGAGGATTGTGCTCAGTGACATACTCAGATAATGCCCGTACATTCGAGGCAGCTGATTCAAAGTTCAGAAAGATGTAAAGCAAAGCCTCGAGGGCTATCTGCCTAAGATGAGGAATGCCTTTGTGGAGGGCTTTCTAAGGGAAACTGGGCTCGTATACACGTTACACATGGGGGAAACCACGAAAACGCCCATGTAGGCAGCCCATTCGCGGGATTCGAACCTCGGACCGAACTACCAGTGTTCAGCAACTTTACCGCTTGGCTGCTGGTGGGCTATTGATTCAGGAGCCACATCTCACATGGAAACTAGTAAAGAAATATTTACTAATTTTAAAGATGAAGAACGACAAATAATGACAGCTGAAAAAGGTGCCATGATTAATTTCAGTTGGTATTGGTAACATTAAAATGCAAACTGATGGAAATAAGAACATCTTGAGAGTAGAAAATGTTCTGTAAGTTTTATTTAAATTAAGTTTAAGTGAAAATCTGCTGTCAGTATCAAAAATTGTAGATCATGACTTAAAAGTAATTTTTACCAAAACTAAAGCAGAAGTGATTAATAAACATGGAAACATTCTACATATAGCTAACAAAAATGGAAATAAATTTGAAGTTGAAGGAAATATAGTTGAAGAAGCTAAAATTAGTATGTTAATGATGTACTATGGCATCAGAGACTAGGTCATATAAATTATCAAAGGCTGATAGAAATGAAAAAAACTCATCGGTCATTGGATTAGAAAATGTAAAAATTCCTGAAAACAATTGTGAACCTTGTACATTAGGAAAAATGAAATGAACATCTTATAAACGAGTGAAATTTAAGCAATCAGAAGATATTTTAGAATAATGGCACTTAGATTATTTAGTTGGACCAATTGAGAAATCACTAGATGGAAGTTGTTATTTTTTAAGAATGGTAGATGATAACATTAATTTCCATGTTTGTGATAACAATTGAGAAGAGGAGTGAAACTTCAGAAAGTCTAATGAAGCTTATAGTCCAAGAAGAAAGACAAACAGGAAAGAAACTAAAAATAATTTGAAGTGATAACGGTACTGAATTTTTAGCTAAAAGTATAAAAGAATTTTTTGAAAAAATGGGAATTAAAGATGAACGTACAACCCCTTATACTCTGGAAAGTAATGGAAAAGCTGAACATATTAATTGTACTATAATTGAATCTGGTAGATTGAATGTTAATGATGTTAATTGATGCAGAATTACCAATAAAATTTTGTTCTGAAAGCGTTAAAGTAGCTGTACATGTGAATAACAGAAGTCACAAAAATGATAAAATGTTTACACCATATGAACTATATAAAGGATGCAAGCTTAACATTACTTATCTTAAAAGATTTGGATGTGAAGCAAATGTTCATATAAGACAAGAAAAACATAGAAAGATGGATCTAAATGCTCAAAAAGGAATTACGATAGGCTATAGCATGAAGAGAAAAGCAAACAAAATTTATATTCCTGAAGTAAATAAAATTCAAGAAAAGATGTAAAATTTAATGAGCAGAAACTCGGATCACATTTACTACAAGAAAATTATTTAAAATTCAATAAAAAATTAAATATTAGAAAAACTTGTTATTTTTTACAAGGAACAAACCAATGGCAGTGTAAGCAATTCAGAAGTAACTGACAGATACCATAGAGAAGATAATACAACAGATGAAGAAGCTGAGAAAATTTTACCATCAAACACCGATGATGAACACCACGATAACAATTCGTTGGAAAAGCCAACAGAGTATCCACAAATACATGAAGAACTTGGAAACGATAGTCATGGAAATTCTGTACAGAAAAGATCAGCGCGAAAGCCGAAACCCCCAGAAAAATTAAAGGCTTATGTAGCATACAATACAAATGAAGAATTACCTAAGACATATGATGAAGCTGCAGAATCTGCTGAAAGTTAATTCTGGCTACATGCAATGATAGAAGAACTGAATTCAATGGAGGCTAATGAAGTCTGGGAATTAGTTGAAAGACCCATCAATAAGAAGGTTATTAAAAACCGCGGGATATTCTCAAAAAGGGATGAAAAAGGTCATTTTAGAAACAATTTACAAAGCAAGACTAGTAGCAAACAGATTTAATCAAAGAAAAGAAATCAATTATGAAGATGGATTTAGTCCAGTAATGAGACTAACAACCTTTAGAACATTGTTATCAATTGAAGTTTACAAAAACTACAAAATAAGATTTTCCGATGTAAAAACTGCATATTTAAATGGATACTTGGATAAACCAATTTACACGGAACAACCACATGGATTTATATCAGATCCAAACAAAGTATATCTTGTAAACAAAAGTATATATGAATTACCACAATCAGGAAAATGCTGATATGATGAATTATGTAAAGCTTTTAAGGAACGGAATTTAACTAGACTAAAGTCAGATCCATGTGTTTATATTTATAAAGATAAGATCAACTATCTTATCCCAGTATATGTGGATGACTTAATGGTGCCTGGAAATTCAAATTCTGAGATAAATGACATCATCTCTCAACTTCTAAATCGTTTACATTACGAGAAGTCACTAACACACACAAATGTTTAGGAATAGACATCTGGCAAGAATCTGGAAAACTTATACTCCACCAAGAAAACTATATAACTAAAATCTTAAAAAACTTTGAAATGTATGAAAGTAAGCCTGTCAAGACTCCAAGAATATTGGGTGAAAATCTTGATGACATAGCTTCTTCACCACCTGTGTCAAAGACAAAATAATGTCTAGAAGCATTAGGTTCATTGATGTACTTAGCAGCAGGCACAAGGCCAGACTTAGCTTTTGCCACAAGTAATTTGTCAAGATATAATTAAGATCCCAGAGATAAACACTGGAAAGCTGTGAAGAGGATATTTAGATACATCAAAAGAACACAAAATGCTTTTTAGTATATACTTCAGACAATGTGAAATTAAATTCTACATCAGATGCAAGTTAGTGTACCATTGAAGATGGAAAATCATTCGGAGGTTATTTCATTAAATTAGGTAAAAATTTCATAAATTGGAAGTGCAACAAACAAAGACTAGTTGCTTTATCTACAATGGAAGCTGAATTTTTAGCATTCTGTGAATGTGCATGTGAAGTTAAATGGTACATTTTTTACTTAAAGAATTGGAACAAGATGATTTATGACAAACCAATAGAAATTAGAACAGAGTGTCAAGCATTAAGACAGGAAAGTAGTAGTTCAAGGCACATTAATCGAAAATATTTCTTTGTAAAAGATGAATATGAAATGCATCAAATCATACCTCAGTTTGTGTGTTCACAAAATCAAGAAACAAATATTTTAACAAAATATCTACCTAGGGTGAAATTGAAAGTTGAACTATTAAAGTATGGACATCACTGACTGATTAAAATTATATCTTTAAGCACAAATAAAGGGGGAATTGATATTTGTTTATAAAGTATAAGTTTAAGTTTTAATATTTTGGCAACATTGATATTTTCTTAAATTGTAAAAGAATGAGTAAAAAATTTATCTGGCATTTAGAGAGGTTGTTATGGTTTTGTAGAATGTGGTATGGTTTGTTATGACTCATCTTATTTAATAAAGTTTTCTTTTCATATATTACTATAATGTATATTTATTAGAAGTAGATAACTCTTAGAGAATATAATTTATGCCAATTCTAAACCAGCAGAAAATCTATTTCAATTGCCTATAGAGGGCATAAAGGCTTTATGATGATTGTTTTTGTTTTTGGATCTGGTATTGAATGTGTGATGGAATTAAATAAACCTTGAAGCTTGAAACCTGATGTGGATCTTCTTTGCTTTTTAATTATGAAATATTTTAATTTTAGAATAATAGTTCTTGAACCCTGATGACATGAACTTTGTCTTATCACTGTAATTTGTGTCATCTTAGGCAAAATTTCAAGACTCAGCTTCCTGGATGCTAGCAGCCAACATTGCAAGCACAACATAAAGGTGTTGTGCATTTCCCCCAGCTTGATTTTACAATTTTGGTGCCAAAGTTGAGCAATTTTTTTTTATTTCTTTCAATGAAAACAGATCGCTGTATACGTGGGGGAAACAACATTGGGGGAAGAGAGTGTGCATCTTGCATGGAAGTAGAAGAATGTAAAAATATAAGTAGCCTCGGATGCACTGCTCAAATAGATATACAGATACTCAAACATTTCTCTTCAAATTTGTCAATGAGCTTGTGAATGCCCTCTAATGTTGGTAATGAGTTAAAATATTTGGTAAGGTTGCAAATAATCAGAAAGTACCAAATATTTTTACTATTTCTTGATCGTTTAATATCTCTCTTATGATTTCTTGAATTACAATATACATTTTTAATTAATTGAACCACACAATGAAGTTACATTAAGTGATAAAAAGTATCTTTAAATAAATCTCCATTCTCTTGCAAAAATTAAAAAAGTAACGTGGTGTAGGCCCATCTTTTGCATAGATTACAACTTACCAAGAAAATTAGCTCATTATACATGGTATTTATGTTAATTAATAAAAGAAACCTAAATAATCAGCTGTGACTGCTACCAGAGCATGAAAATGTAAACAGATTATGCTTCCATTCCATTATAGGAAAGTGATTGACTGTTGCAACACATATGTGGTTTATCTGCTTCATGAAGTTGCATTTGTAAACTACTGCCTCAAAATTTACCCCTCAATGAGAAATTTTTTACTTTTTACCATATACTGATAACCTTTTAGTATTCACAATGTATAGAATTTTCATACTTCTGGTGACTATTTGAACACTAGCATACTCAATAATTGATAATATCATCAAAACAGAGATGCTTATATTGGTCAAAAAGTGTAAAATAGAAAATGATATACATAATGTAAAATGTTATTAATTCAACATGAAAGCAAAATAAACTTTCAATCCAATTTTTTGCAGGAAATATTGGAAATGTATTTATTACTTACCAACAGACCAACTGCAGCCAATGAAACATTTAATTCTTGAGTTTGGGAACCAAACTTCGCAGCAGCATCAACACAAAGTTGCAAACAAGTGCAAGGCATAACAGGTGGATAATCTGCAACTACTAGCTGAAGGCACTGGAAAGCTGACCTTATCAAAGCCTCACTACAAGAAATGATTAATGATAATAAAAATAAGGAAACTATTGAAGCAATTACATTCAGGAGTTCCAATACTTTATATTATTAAGTACCCATTAATTTTTAATAATTTAATAAAAAGTCATAAAGTAATAACAAAAATTACACATTCACACTAAAAAGAAGGTACATAAAAACTTAATAAAATAAACAAACAATTTAGTTGCTAAAATAATTAGACCTAATTCTTACTTTTTGCATGTATATATTTTCTCCCAATAAATTAGAAATATTTCAATACCATTAGAACAAAAAAACAGTCCAAGTTTATTTTTTACTCCTCCTCCAAGTATATCTAATAAACATTGCACAGCACCAATCTGTTCGTGTCATCGCACTCAAATATTTTACAAGTTGTAAAAAAATTTAAAATATGCATTTAATAGCAGTATACTTTTGTAATGAAATTTGATGTTATCTATTCTGAACTTTTCTCTCAAGTAATATAAAGTTTCTTTAATTTTATTTACTAGCAGTTTAGAATTTGCCTATGGATATCATAATTAGTTGAATTATTATTATCAATAAATTCAATCTATTACCGGTTTCTTGTGCAGCTCACTAAACTGGAATTTACAGGCCAATTATTTAAATTTATAGAGAACACATAATATGTGAGTGATTAAATTGTTTGAAAATGGGTATGATCTTTTAACCTTTTGAGGCCGGGGCTTTGGTAGCGGTAAAAGCTACCAAAGGACGGGGAATCTTGAACCGAATGCTTTCCCCCCCTTTAAGAAATCACCTCCTATTTGCAACAAAGATTCTTGTGTGTTTTTTAATGGATTCTCAGAGGGGGCCATCTATGTCGCAAAAGGAAGACCTTTGAAAGAGATAAGGGGTTAAAACCCCAGGGACGTCAAATTTGACATTTCACCCCACTTTTCAGCCTGGAAAATGGGGGAAAAAGACATGGCCACTAAAGTGGACAACCCCGTCTTTTTAAAGAGAGGACTCTATGGCCACTATAATGGCCATCCCGTCTTGAAAAGGTTAATGAAGGACTATAAGATGTAAAATGGCAAATGAAACAACTATCACCATTAGTGGCAACCAATTTATTGCATTCAGTTGACAAAATGATTAAATAGAATAGGCGATTTAGTATGATGCCATTCTCCCCACATTTTTCTAAATTTCACTCTCAGCTCATGAAATATTGCAGACGCTAAATCACTGGATGTTATGTAAATCCTGGGAGCTCAAACTGATTACATGCCATCACAAACTGAAATGCATGGAAGGGCGTTTCTGATCTGCTACCACAAAAAGCTGCAATTTTTTTAGCAATATCTGGTTGCCGCATTCAGCCCTAGGATCCAGCCTCTGATAGCAGGTATAAAATTCACAAAAGCATAAAAAAAGATTGACACCTTTTCTTCCTGCAAAACTGGTTGTAGCAAAAATCCTGGTTTCTGCCAATGCATTAAGATTTCTTAAATATATTCAGGATAAAAGTTGAAGGCATTATTCATGGATCCTGCAATCAGAGGGATAAAATGACAGTCCACTGAGGCACACTGAATCATCCCAAAAGATGAAATCAAAGTAGATTGTCTACTCTGAAAATCGCATGGACTCTTCTCTGAAAATCACATGTTTTGGGACAGAAAAGTAGTTTTGCAAGTATACTTTTTGGGTCAAAGTTCCACAATCAACATAGCTATAAAAATGACTTGCTTAAAATACAGCATCCAGCAATCCAGGAGACAGGACATGGCTTGTGCATCAGAAGTATTTTGATTCATAACAATATCTACCATCATTTGTCCCACACAACATATCAATTTAGTTAAAATAGTTTGAACATCCCCCACACAGACCTTACATCAGGCAGTTTTAACCCATTGAAACACTGAAGTCCTTTCTTGATCACTAATGATTTCAAAATGATGATTAAGGCAAAGAAAGGTTCAACACAAAATTTGCATTACAGGTAACAATCTACCACAGTAAAGGGAGACAGCTCTTCTTACAGAATGCTACTACTTTAATTAGCATTATAAATGTTTTTCATTACGGGTGAAATTAAATATATTCTCATTTTTCTGTCAATCCACTGGAACTTCCTGAAAAACCTAGCACTGTATACAAATTAAAATGCAGAGACTCTGAAATGACTGATATACTTTTGGAAATTAAATGTGACAAAATAACTAATACCTAGTACAAACAAGTTGAATACATTGAGTTAGGGACAAAAGATAATTTCTGTCCCCTCTCTTCATTTTGGAGGAACTGCTGATATCATTGCCTACTTAACAGTTTTGAAAAATGGTGTTTATAGCCTGTAGAAACAATTTATTCTGGTTCATTAATTATAGTTCAATCAATATGCTTTCAGAATGCAGTTTTGCAAATACAGCACTAATTGCATAATTCAGACTCGTTGGGACTTTGGCGATTCCGGATTAGGATTTTTTCTGGATTATAGATCATCAATTTAAATCTGGTAAGATGGCATACAGAAATTATACTATTAAAACTATGAAACTATAATTTATGAAATAAAAAGCAATTATGATCTAAAGGGTATCAAAATTTACAAAAAAAAAAGTTTAATATTTAATTTGTTTACTTTATTAAACATTTCTTTCAATGTAAGTTCTTTACGTTGCTTCTTTTTTTTGTGTGTGCTAATACTTTCTCTTTAAATCTATAAACATACATAATTTAGTGTTCAGTTAAAAAGTTCCACTGTTCAAGTCCTGTAATTGCTGTGTCGAGAATACCGACTAACTTGTCAATTAAAATTTTTTTGTTTTCAATAACCTCTCTGTCACTTTTTTCACTATTGGAAGCGGTATTTTCTGGATCTAGAACCATACTACAGATTTCGCCATACGTTAATTGATTGATGATTGGGGCATTATCGTCGCAATGAAAAACTTCTGTTATATCACCTTCATTTATTACCACTTCTTCACATTTCTTTACAAAATCCAATAACTGGAAAATTTCACCTTTAGTTTGCGATGTCCAAAACCTTCAAATCCGCGGCTATTGTCCGTTCTACATTCTACGGCCATGCATAATGCATACAAAAAAAAAAAAAAAAAAAAAAAACAGATTGTGGCTTTGAGGTCCGGATTATACACCGCTGGCCATTAAAACTGCAACTCCATGAAAGAAAGTAAATGCAAAAAAGATATTTATTGCACGTAAAAAGTATGGCATGAAAATAAAGGATTTAAATTTGTAAGCAGTTTGGAGGCTTACAGGGGTGTGAAATTAGCAGAAACAGCTGCAACCCCTGGTAGCTAAAACGGCCCTTACCCCATTAGGCATGGAGTTAAATTGGCCTTGGATGAGAGAAATAGGCAACACATTCCATGCTGCTTCAAGTCTATGCCACAATTCATCAACCGTATTAGTGGAGAGCGGTGGCAAGCTAGTCTCCCAGCAACCCATGACCAGATGTTTTCAGTGGGTTATAGATCTGGAGACCGTGCAGGCCAGGGCAGCAATTGAATACCCTATGTATCTAGGAAGCTCAGGACACGACATGCAACATGTAGCCTTACATTATTTTGTTGGAACATGGCGTTTGGGTGCCCTGAAGATAGGGTATAACCTCTGGACGTAAGATGTCAGAAATGTACCCATCTGTGTTCAAGTTACTGTCGATCCGAACGACAGATGTGCGTCTTGTGTACCGAATGGCTGTCCATCACACCAAGTGCAGGGGCCTTATGCCGATAGCGAATGCAAGCAGGCGACATGCGGTCTCCTCGGAAACTACAGAGATGCATACAACCATCAGAATACAGCACATAGAACCAGGACTTGTTTGTAAAGCTGCCATTGTACACTCCTGTACCTAGTTTTGTTGTTTGGCACATCAGAGCCGCCGTCTCTGTCTCTATGTTGCATTGTCAGGGGAAGCCAAAGTAATAGTCACCCTGCATACAGCCCACGCTGCTGCAAACATCAACGCACCTTATGAGCTGACACTGGCGTGCTGCTTAACATGCCCATTTCCTGACTAATGGTCATGATGTGGTCATATGGTTTTGCAGGGCTGATCTCACAATATGTCTGTCCTCTCTGGCATTAGTCATGGGAGGAGGTTAAGATTCTGCATGCTATTCGAGGCATAACACGATATTCTGAACAAACTCCAACCTTACAAAGCATTTTCCGAATGAGAAATCCACTACACAACCACTACACTTTTATGCAGTGCTTCCATCATCGTTTCTCCATCCAGAGTCGACTAAATACGCTGAAATACTAATCATTTGCATGTCCCAACCTCTTCTTACTTTCTTGTGATTTTAACGTTCGTCAGATCATTCTTTCCTAGCGTTGCAATTTTAATGACCAGCAGTGTAGAGCATTCCGGATAATGGACATCTGGATTACGGACTTTGTACTGTATCTACTTGTACAAGAAACAACACAGAGAATTTATAGCACTTATAAAATAAATATGCATTTGTAAGGGGAAAACAATTGTCATCCATATACTTGTATGGAATGAGTTGAATTGGCTTGACATCTATCACATAAAGTTCTTATACTCAGCAGCTTTAAATCATATTAAACAATCTATTTAAAATAAATATTTATTAAAATTGCACAGCTAGAAACTTAATGCTGTACAAAAATTGAAAATACATGGATGTGATGAGATATCTGAAATACACTCAGTGATGAAAAGAATGAATATTTAAATCATCTTCAAAGTACATAAAAGAATCTATTTAAAATAAATGGTATAATTTAAAACTGCATAGCTATTAAATTTGAATTTATATAAAATTGAAAGTATATGAATCCACTGAAAGAGTTGGAATACATTAAATGATACGAAAAATGAATATTTAAATATCATTCCAAAATATATACAAAAGTAATAACTTCTACTATTACATGTTCGTCTTTGAAGTAATTTTCTTTCAAAATGTATACAGTACAAAGTCTTTAATCCGGACTCGTCGGGACTTTGGCGATTCCGGATTA